TGAAAACACCTAATAATGTAAAAGTTCCCAACACTAAAAACCGAACAATGAACTCATTGTCGATGATCAGAGCTAGAAACATTTACCTACTCAATTAACCAGTAGAAAAAAATAGAAAAATAGAACCAAATGCAAAAACAAAAAGGGAGAGATACAATCATACAGTGCACAGTGACTATACTAGTCACTGTGAATTCGGTGGTGCAGGCGGAGGATGGAGATACTGAGGCCCCGAACAGCGGCGAGCGGCTGACAAATCATATCTCTCTCTCCAATGGGACCGGGGCAGCTTCATCGAACCCGGCTGGGAGGGGGGAGTGTGACAGTTGGTATGAACATGACCCCGCAATTGCTTTGGCGGCTCAAGCTGGGACCCTCAGATGGAGATAAAAGTAGATTCTCCCAACACCATCATGCTTGCAGTCCTCTTTTTCACATCAACTACTGTGTTGGTGATCGCCATAAAGGGTCGTCCGAGGAGAATAGTGTGCTGATAACCGTTCTCTCTAACATCCCCCATATCAAGAACCACAAAATCTATGGGGACTATCAGCTTCCCCACTCTTACCTGGACATCTTCCAAAATGCCTTCGGGTTGACGGAGCGAGTGATCGGCAAGCTGTAAACGCGTCCTGGTGGGCCTCAGACCGCCGAGTCCAAGTGTCCAATAGATAGAGAGGGGCATCAGATTTATGCCTGCCCCAAGGTCTAGCATCCCCGAAACATCTTTTCCATTCTCAAAAGCTACATCGAGCACAAACCCACCGGGGTCTCATTCTTTCTTCTCCTCCAAAAGTCGGCCTGGGAAGGGAATCTTCGGCCTGTATGGGTTCGGAGATTTGTGTAATGTTGGCTCAGCCAGCAGTGTCACTGGAGTTTCTTGCTTCTTTGGGCCCACTTCTTCCTCTTTCTTCTTGTTGCCTACAATCTCCCTCTCAATGTCGGGCAAAATCACAGTCACTGCATTCACATGCTCCGGCTGACTAGGCAACTTTCCCTTATTCAATTCAGTCTCGATGGTGTCGACCCGTGTGGCCAGTTAGCCCACTTGCGCCTCAAGACACTTGATGGATGCATCCTAGTTCGTGATAAACTGGAGGATCTTATCGAGTTTGTCGTCCTGGAGAGATGAACTTGGCCCGGCGTCTGGTCCTCTCTGTTGCTGCTGCTGCTGGTAGTTCGGTCGGGGAATGAAGTTGGGTCGAGGTTGCTGCTGCATGAAATTCGGGCGGGGTTGCTGGAAGTTCGTATTGTTGGACCAGGAGAAGTTGGGATGATTTCTCCATCCCGGGTTGTACGTGTTTGAAAACGGGTCATTGCCAGGCCGGGCTTGGTATCCCTATAAAGCGCTGGCATCTGCATACTGCTCACCGGAATCCTGGTCGAAGGCAGAAGGGCACACTTCAGACCTATGCCCTAGGACTCCACATGCCCCACACGTGTCAACGGACATGGTCTGAACCGACTGAGCTCCTCGGGCGTTAAGTAAACGCATTTTCTCTGTGAGCTCGGCTAACTGTTGGGCCATCACATTGTTGCCCTGCCCAACCTCGTTTACATTCACTCTCTTCCCTCGACTGCTCTTGTGCGACGAATTCGTGCTCATCGTCTCGAAAATGTCGAACATCTCTCCAGCCATTTTTGCTCCGATATCTCCCCCTGCCGCATTGTCAACCATATACTGCAAGTTCTGATGGAGGGAGCCATAGAAGCAGTTGATCAGTAGCCCCGGAGAGAGGTTGTGATGAGGGCACTGCCGCTGGAGATCCTTGGACCGCTCCCAAGCCTCATGAAGAGGCTCATTCGGTAGTTGAGCAAATGAGACGATTGGAGCTCCTGGGTCTTCTGATGGGAGTAGTACCTCCCAATGAACTTCGTGTATACTTCGGTCCAGGTAGTGAGATAGTCCGGTGCGAGGGTCATGAACCAAGCCTTGGCCTGGTCCTTTAGTGTCTCAGGAAAACACCTCATTTTCAGTTGCTCTTCTGTGAGCCCGTAGAGAGGGAAGGTCTGTAGCACATTTTAGAATTCCCGAATGAAGTTAAGCGGGTCTTCATTCGGGAGCCCGTGAAAGGATGGCAGCTGGTTGTAATGGATCATCTTAAGCTCGTAGTTCCGAGCTTCTTGTGGCAACCGGATGCATGAAGTTATCGGCCCAATCGTCGGATGGGCTAAGTCTCGAAGGAGATCGCGATGTTGTAGAGCCATGTCTGGATTTGTGGTTTCAGATGAATTGAGGCTGAGTTTGTCGAAAAGCTCCCTTACGCTCACGTGACTTGGTTCGTCGTTTGGTCCTATATTACGCCCACTCCTGGTACGCATACACAAAGACAAAAGAAACCGTCACGAGCACCCGATAAACAAAGAGGAAAGCTAAAGAAAGCAAGAGTTACTAGACTAAACTAAAGAAACAAAGAGAAACACGAAAATAAGAAAAATCACAAGAAATAAGAGAAACACTAAAAAAAATGAATAGGCACACAATTATAATCCTAAACCTTCCCCGACAACGGCGCCAATTTTTGTTGTCAGTATTTTTACCGGAGTAGAATCGAAAGATTCGCCCCGAGTCGTATCGCAAGAAAGGTTAGCCGGATATTCTTGTGCGTATATTCAATCACGAAAAGGAGAAGAAAAATCCCTAAACACTCTAATTCAATATTCTTCGGGTTTCAATTATCAACTACTGATTTAAACTGAATAAAATGAAAGCAAAATAGCAAATGAATTTACTGAATGATTAAAGTGCTAGGGAATCGGAGATAATTGCTTTCGGTTCTATCACAATTACCGGCAATCAATTGCTCGGTTAAAGGACTTGAATCGCTTCCCGTTCAGAGGTTCACTCTCAATAACTCTTCGTAACAAGAGAGTGAATGTAAACGATCAACTATCAATTCCAACAACACATAGATTATATGTTTCTGAATAAATCTATTCTAAACGAGCCTAATTCGACCAACGTCTCCCCTCTCGGTTCTACACATTGATTATCTAGGTTAGAAAGGTGATCAATCTACTAACCCTATGATTCACACAACTCGTATAGACATGAACAATTGAAAGCACTCAATTATAACGAACCTAATCAATCATCCCTTATCCCTAGCGAATGGATTTAGCTACTCATAATGAATTTAACATCAACATTCATATAAACCCAAGTCATCATCATCAACAAAGCAATTGAGAAAAATAACTTACGATTAATATAAAGAATCCAACGTCAAATCCAAGTGCATCCAAATCCAAAGCAAGAAATAGGAGTTTTTTCAATCTCCAAAACAAATCAAAAGTGCAAAAGGATAAAAAGGAATGAGTTTCTAGAGAGAAAAAGCGTAAAAATAAAGTCTGCAAGTTGAATAATGAACCCTAGGATCGAAATCTGCTCTAAAAATCTCGTCCTCGAAATTCGCGCCGGTTAAGTCGCGACTCACGACTTGAGTCGCGAGTCAGGAGATCGTCTTCTTCTCGGTCGCGAGTACCGACATCCTCGCGAGTCGCGCGTCTTCAAAATGTTAAACTTCTGGGGTTGGGTCGCGACATAACTCGCGAGTCGCGAGATCATCTCGCGAGTCGCAACTCGTTCTTCGTAAATCCTCTTAAGCCCCAGTTTTTTCCGCGAGTCGCGAGTCGCGAGAAATTATGGCGGCGTGTTTCTGTCCGTTTTTCAGTCCTCTTCGTCTTCTTCTGGTCTCGGCCACGAAAATTCTCAATATCGCTGTCTCAGCTCAAGCAGTCCCAACTCGACCGGTGCAACCTATCTCCTGAAAACACAAAAACAAAGAAAAACACGAAGCAAAACACGGCAAAAAGACACACAAATATAAACTAAAGAGAAAAACACAAAACGAACAAAATTGACCAAATAAACAACGAAAAACCTACAAATGGGGGAAAATAAAAAGAAAATAAACACGAAATAAAGACACAAAAATGGGACAAACAGTGACTATAAGGTGTCTTTTGGTCTCTAGAAGCGCCCGTTCTCATTCGAGCACGTCCCAAATGGTGTCTTTTGACACTTAAACCTATTGGAGATGTTTTTGTACATGTATAAAACTTGGAAAATTAAGAGCTCTTGCATTACATTTTCAAATTTCATAAATCATATTGTGTTCTTGATTCTTTTTTATTGAGTATTGAGAGTTTCAAACGATAACATTGTTCACCGAAGGTATGTATATTTGAAATACCGCTATATACAAGTTGAAAGTCGTTGTATCTTGGAGGCGTTTGCTGCTAATCGTAGATATTTTATGGGAGTATTTCATTTTAAAGAGAACATACGTGTCTTGACTTTGATTTTGCTATTGTTTACTTCCTTTTTTTTAAGCCATCAACTTGATATTCACAAACCAATCAAAGTACAAGTATGCTAAGAGCAAATTTTCATTGGTTGTATCTACGAATCTGTCGAGTAATATGACCGCAGTGTAGATATAGAGTTATTTCCATTCTTCATTTTATGTTTAACATCTATACTACTCTGATTTTAGTATTTATGATGAATTTAACAAATGTAGAAAGTTCAAGCCATCGAAGCTACTAAAAAATATCACCTAAGGATATCGCCTTTCCTTTTGAAGTGTTATTGATCATCTTGATCTTTATTTGTGTATCTAAATAATAAATAAACAACTGATGCGGTCAAAACCTCTTTCATCTTGCGGTAAACTATATTTCAATTTCTTTTAATACAACAGTAGGAGTACATTAATATTGCATTTTCCAACATTTACAACCTATTCGTCTCTCAATTCATCCGTCGCCTAGTTACCGAGACAGTAAAACCGCAACGTTCTTAACCTAAAACCTTATTAGTCCTACAATAAACTATGAAAATGCTGTTCTGTTCTGTCACAAAAACGTATACTAATCACCTCAGACAAACTGTGCTTTCACAGAGCATCCAAACAACCATAAAAACGTCCAAAAAAATAAAAATAAAAAAATGATGAAGCAGTAAAGCAAAATCACCAAGTAATAAACAACACAAAATGCACAACAAGGTCATCATAGAAAACCCAAGGCCAGACACAACAAGACACAATATTCAGAAACCAAGTTCACCAATAATACACTATTCCTAAAGAACTTGAAAACTGAAAGAACACAACAAAACACATGTACATAAAACACAACAACACAACCTTTANAAAAAAAAAAACGATCCGAAGCTAAAACAGAGGGAAGAATATTTGAGGGCGTAAAAACGGCAAGGCCCAGCAATACGCCTCGACCAGCTTCCCATTAGCGGCCATCCGAATCACGATTCTGCGCAGGGCCCGAAAGAAGGAGGGCACCACCAGCCGAGGCCCGAAGCTGAAACCCCTCCTCCGGCCACCGAGACGTATTATGCCGCCGCCCTTCCGCCGCCGGCGGCTGCGGCGGCACCACCCCACCACCACGCCGGAGCTCGAGAGCACCGATATTTCAAAGGCTCTCCTGCTCAGCATTTGTTGTTGCTTAGAATTGATTTGAAGGGATGTAAATTGTAATATATAGTGTGCTTGGGCATTTAGTTTAATGTGTTGGGTGAACAATATAAAAGGTCTGGGAAAAAGGAGGGGTGCAACTTTAATTGCATCCTTTGTTCTGCATCTTTAGAGGTGTTAGTGAAATGATTGCACAGTGTAGGCTTTGCCTTTAGGAAAAAAGAGAGAAAATTAAATGAATTGTAAATTAAGAATTTTGTGGTACAAGTTATCTTTTGTTTATTCAATTGTTATGTGTAGTCGTGTTATGATCATAAACGGTAGAGTATGTAATCATCACTTGGTAGCAGAGTAATTTCACTAATTTGATGTTTTTAAAGGTAAAATGACTTGTGTTATGGTACTTGTAAGATGGATTTGGCAACATATTCCACTCTACTCTAGAAATTATAATACTTGTAAGATGAATTTATATTTTATTAGGCTCAAGTTGGGGACAAGTAGGAATGATGAAAGATTCTTCCAATTAGTGTGTTTAGGTTGGCCCAGAAAATATAATATTTAAACTTCACAACTGATCGTTCATGAGATTAACAGAATTAATCACCTTCCTATGTTGCTTCCTTCTTAATTCGGGAGAATTGGACTATGGTTCAAAAATATACAGCCTAAATAAATTAACAGGATCATCCACAACATATAACAATTGCAAAATTGGTAACTAAAAATGGGCATGGTTCATCACTTTTCAATTGTTAATAAAACATTAAACATGATATAAAAATTAAACATTTATACACAAATTTATATTACACACATTTATTATATGTATAAAAATGTAACTTTAACGGTAATTACACCCATACACACACTTGGATAAAAATACTTGCAAGTTAACTCGGGCGAATCAAGTAGAGAGCAAGGACTGCAAGTAAGTCTCAACCGAGTTAAGACCACAGAGCTGCTTAACAACCGGCATAGTAGCCGGCACATCCAGCTGAAATATCGACTCAGTCCCTTCCAAACCTCCCCACTCCTTCACCTGCTTTCTTGCTTCTTTAATCGCTGCTCGTGTGGCACAGTGCACTGATGCCGCCAGAAGCAGTGGGGGCTCACCGGAAGCTGCACCACATAATCACTTAATCAAATATTTGCTGACAAAGTTAATTCATCAAGCATTTCATCATTTAATAATAATGTTTCTCTAAATGGGACTCTTACCCTTAGATGAGAGAATGCGTTCCTTGTGATGCCCGCTGTTCAATATTTCAACGTTGAATTCTCTTGGGATATTGTCGATTGTCGGGATTTTGTACGTCCATGTCCCGTTTGCAACAACCAACCCATCCGAATTGGTCGGGTATTCTTCTAGCATGAAAAAACCGAGCCCTTGTACGAATGCCCCTTCAATCTGCATAACCCAGTACAATTTTGATAGTGCTTTTATGAAAACTGTGCAACTTGATACAAGCAGAGTATAAAATTGACCTGTCCCATGTCGACAGCTGGGTTCATGCTCTGGCCGCAATCATACACAATGTCCGTTCTCAATATTTTCGTCTCACCAGTTAGGATATTTACCTCCACCTGCAATGATCATATCCACAAGTTAGTCTTGTCCAATCACCATGGTTAATATACCAAAGACAAACTCTAATCTGAATGCGGCCTTCATTAAAAACTTCGTCATGAAAATATGATCAACATGAATTTAAACTGCATTACTTTCTAGCGTAAGACAAAATCATATATAGGGTGCTCGTTGAGATAAATTCTTACCTCACTTACTGCAGCACCATAATTCAAGTAATCAGCAGAACTGGAGTCGGGCACAAAGTAAGTATTTGCTGCCATATTTACATTTTGATTATATGCCTGCATTCCAAAGTAAATTGTTTGATGAGAAAATTCAGTTTATAAAAAATAAGAATCCACCAACAAATNAAAAAAAACCTGGAGAATCAGTTCATCCCATTTCACAGAACCCATTTCCTCATTCAGCTCCTCCTTAACTACGACCAATCTCTCGACCAAGACATTACAGCACAGCCTAACCGCCTCACAGCTCGACTCAGAAGTCGTGCTGCCAGCTGTTAACCCTCCCTGCACCAAACTCAGAGTATCAGCCTGCACAATCCGAATTTTCTCAACCAAATTCTCACACCCAATCCTCCCAAGAGCATACGCCGCCACCTGTCGAACCTTCGTCCACAGCCCTTGCCCGATTTCTATCCCCCCAACCTCCACAACTACAGACCCATCTGAAAGTATGCTCACTTTCCCTGGCGAAGCCCTCACTGTCACACCGTGCACAATCGGCACACGGGATATTCCCCTCTTACACCAAACGTGGGCCCGGTTAAACTGCTCCACATTCCTCACCCTCTGCTCAAACCCAGACGAAAGCCTCCCCACCTTCTCCCAAATAAATTTCAGAGTGTACTCGAATAACTCCCCGCTAGAGTCTCCGTAAAACAGCTTCAAGCTCTCGTACGTGTGGAAATTCACATTCCTCACGTAATCCACCTCGAAATCGAGAAACGAAGCCACGTGCTCGACTATTGCCTCGGCAATGAAAGATCCTTGAACCTCTCCAGGGCCTCGCATGATGGATCTGCTCACGAGGTTCGTCTTGCATAATTTGATATCGAAGGAAAGTGCGCCCCAGTTGTACTTCTTGAGGGTCCCAACCAAATTGTTCGGCATTATGGGGCTTACGTCTGGGGTTATGCCAGCATCGATGAGGATGTCCAGGTGTAAAGCTGTGACCTTGCCGTCAGATTTGAATCCGACGGTGTAGGTTATCTTCATTGGGTGCCTGCCTCCGGCAATTATCATGTCGGTTATACGGTCCATGTACATTCTGACAGGCCGGCGTAATTTGTGAGCAGCGAGAGCACATACAGTGGCAATCTGGGAAATTTTAGAAAATACGTTATATCATACTCCCTCCTATTTTTAATAAGTGCCGTTTTGAGAAGTTGCACAGTTAAGAATCTTTTTTTTTGCCAATAATAACCCTCATTAATGAGGATAGAGATGAATGTTTTGAGAAAAGATGAAGAGTGAATATGAAAAGACATAGTGTATTTATTAGCTAGACGAGGGTAATAATGGAAAAATATGGACAGAAGATCCAAAATGTCATTTATTTGGTTAATTGTTGATAAAGCCAAAATCACATTTAAAAAAATAGGAGGAAGTATTAAATTTATATGACATTTTCTCATGAAGGCAAGAAACTGTTATGTCGATATATACTCACAGGGAGTGCTTTTGTTGCCTTCCCGCCAAAGCCTCCACCAACTCTTCTTGTAATGACACGGATATTATGACCGGGAATACCTAGACATCTTGAAATCACTCGTTGAGCATACTCGGGGTTTTGAGTCGAACTGTAGACTACCATGCAGTTGTCTTCATCTGGGATTGCGAGGGCAGTTTGGGTCTCCATGTAAAAGTAGTATTGCGAACTAAGTCTTAGCTGTACATGTCAATTTGTAATCAGTTGAGAAAAATTAAAGGGTGAAGTCTCTTTGTACGAGTGCTTAAACTTGTAAATACATTACATGATGAAAGGCATAAATGACAAGCCATTGCCAAGATTCACAATTATATAGCAAAAAGCAATTTATTCAATGGATAATGGATAATGTTTTTTAGTGATTGGTGAAATGGTTCGAACTTAAAAGTTCTAACCAACATCTCCAAAGTGAAAAAAAAGCTATAGATTAATAAAATCACCTTAGCTGAGAGAATCTTGTGATCAGCTTCAGCCATTCCTTCCGAGAAATCACCAACTTCTTGAGGACGTAAATAAGAAGGAACATCAATGAAACTCAATCGCTCAACAGCCTCTTCAACTGTTAAAATAGGTGGATCTAAGCCTTCCGTATCATAATCAATTACAGCAGATTTTGCTGCCAAATTTGCTTTCTTTTGTGTCTGTGCAACCTAGAGAAGATGTCCAAGATACAATTTTCTTATATAATTCCAACATTTTTTTAAGAGCATTTTCGAGTCAACATGCAGTTAGCAGATTAGAAAATGGAAATTACCACAAAAGCAATGAGGTCACCAGCAAACCGAGTAACATCATCAGCAAACAAAGGTTCGGTACCAAACATGTCCATCCCTACATTTTCCCCTTCTTTTGGGATGTCTTTGACAGAGATAACAGCCAAAACTTCAGCTTGTTGAGCGTGAGACTTGAAAGAAATGCCTTTCACCCGAGCCACGGGCTTAGTGCTACATATAAATGCTCCATGCAAACAATTTGGTGGTGAAGGAATGTCATCTACGAAAATAGCTTCACCTGTAGATTGATTGGACCATAAATACATATAGTAGAAACAAAAAAGGTTCTTCTGTCTTACAAATTGCTGATTTCATGCATATGTGGACTTCCATTATCATGTGAAATTTTTTTATATACAAACACACGAATAATTTATTCAAAAGATATTGAACTCAATCATAAAATAAATATCATCAGCAGAATAAAATATAACTGACCATAATAATACAACACATCTCATGAAATTGAAAACAAGTTTTTGAATTTTTCGATCATCAGAAACTTGATCAACTCGTCGAAATTCCTTGCAACGCCATTAGTGATTTAAAAACGTAAGATTATAGAAAACTTAAAAAGAGTATAACTAACCAGAAGCTTGCATGGCAGCACCGAATTTGGTCATAGGTGCACCCACCGGATGATATTCTCTACTATATTCCACAATCTGCTTTGCCGATGACAAAATTGGGGGTTCTTCTATTTGACTAATTTTACTCTCATTGGTGCTTTTAACAGCTCCCTCTAGCAATAAGCTGTTCAAATGGTTGGAAGGACTGGAAAAGCTACTGAGAAATTCAAAGAGAAAAGCAACTGCTAAGCTTGACCTGTAAGCAGCATTTGGAGTTCCTTCTTTAGGCACCACATCAATTTTCAGCAGCCTGATTGCTTCATACAAAACTCTGATATCAAGGACTTTCCCAGTTAAATATTCCTCTACTTTTCCTGCCCTTGTTGCATGGTCCGTCCCGTAAGCACCAAAAGCCAGCTGAATATTGTTTATAACAATCCCATTTATACTGTAACTGATATCAGCTAAGAAAGCTGCATTTAAATCGGCCAGCGCATTTCCAAGAGGCCTTGGTGCGGCTCGGTAGGTTTCGAAAAATAATCTTGAGCTAGTTTGAATGGAACCATCGATCGTTTTTGGTTCTATGAAAGGAATGTGAACGCTTAAAAGCACTGTTTTTGGATCTAAAGGCGGTCTATTCAAGAATTCCTCAATATTAATTTTTTCATGTTTATGACCTGCCAACAGGCTTACACTAGAACCAACAGCCAACAGTAGAGTAACAACATCTGACGGGAAAGATTTCCTCTGTGCAATAATGATATTGCCACCAATACTAGCCGAGTTCCGGACAAATCCAGAAGCAAGCTTCTCTAAATGTTCAGCAATTTTGATGAACACCATATCTCCACTGGAAACTAAGCCCGCTTTATTTTTCTCTTTCAGATAAACTATCACTTTGGCAATTGTCAAAGCCGCTCCAAACTCAATACCAGAGTCGTCATTTCTAACTACCGAGAGCTCGGGAATATACCTCAGATCGATATATTTGCCATATTTTTTAGTTTCTTTGTAATACCCGTTTGCTGTGTTGCCAACAACTAATTTGATTTTTGTCCTGTTTTCAACCATTTCATAATTCAACAACTTCTGAAGCTCCTTGACTGTTACGGGACTGTACCACGAAAATTTCTCATTATTCAAAAGACCCGTCGACTTGAATCCATCTCCCAATTCTGAAAGATCCTTTGGACTGTATGGTGGTAATTTACTAATCATGACTTGTTTCGAATCTCCCTTTTTCCAGAAAGAATTAAGCCCCAAATCCTCCAAGTCAACATTTGTTGCAAAACTCTTGCAGGCATCAGCAATGGGCCGGTAACCGGTACACCTACAAAGATTTCCCAAAATAGACCTTTCGGCTTCTGAGGTTGTGAGCTTGGAAAACCCTTTGGACGGTTGTGGCCGATTTTTTGCCTTTTCTGCATTTGCAAGTGCCGATAAAAAGGACATGCACATTCCAGGACTGCAAAACCCACATTGAGAAGCATGGAAGCCTGCAAACCTTTGATGGATCGGGTGAAAACCATCTTTACTGTTTCCGAGGCCTTCGGATGTTGTAATTGAGCAGCCATTAATGCTGCATAAAAGTGTAAGACATGAATTCACGTTGAAACTCTCGACCTGCTTGAGTTCGATGTTGTATTTTGACAGCAGAACAACACAAGCCCCACAACCACCTGTATAAGGTTGAATTTTGTCAATACAATATAGAAAGAAAAGCTTCAATAAAGAGCTTCAAACATGGTTGCAAGTTGCTGAGGACTAATAATCAGGCATAATCCTTATGCTATTTGCAATTTCTAGTTGTAGTCTCGGGACCATCTCGATTGAATTAGCCTGTAAGTTACAGCATAAGGAACCAGCATGTTTAGTCTAAATTGGTCCCTTGAACATAATAAATAAAAATACAGATCAAAACCTCTTCCTAGTTCAGTGAAATCACATAAACCAAATGTAGAAACACCAAAACCATATAGAAACTGCGCTATAATCACTGGAAATCAGGACACAACAAACAAATAACACCGTTTTCATCAAAGAGCGACACACACTGACACACAAAACAAACTATCATTTTACTAAGAAAAAAAAGAAGAGTGCATAACACTCATGAATCCTAACAGCATATGAACACATCAAGAACAAACAAATAAACCGTAACAGCCAAGCCATGGCAAATAATTCATGTAAGAACTAAAATCGACTGATAGCCATCAAAAGACAACACAGATATGTGAACCTCAAACACATACAAAGTGTAGCACCCCAAAATATTAAAATATTTGAACAACATAGCATATTTAATTGGAATCAAAATGTGTACGAAATTGGAGCCTAACCTCAAATATTTTAGGTGAAAATCACACCCTTTAATTTGACCCAATTGTTTGATATATATGTTTTACCTAATCCCTTCCATATATCTAATAACCAATCAACCACTAATCTATGAAAAAACAGTCCTCCACATCTCTGCTCAACGCGATTTTCTCTCAATCTCCTCCGTCGGACTCGGCATCAACATATCCCACTCATACATTGACTCTCTCTACGCAAAAACCACAAAACCACAATGTTCAAGTCCTTCAGTATATCACACTCAAAGCATCATCCCAGAACACCTCTCACCCCCAGTCAGCCAAATCATCACCGATAGTCAAGGAATTCAAATCGTAGTCTAAAATCGATTGAAAGTCACGATCTAGTACCGCGGAGAAATCGAACTTCATCGTTCACAGCCCCCATCGATTTTCAGTCCGCAACCCGCTCTGGTCGTACAGCCGTGCACGGAGGAAGTCACAGCCGTCTACCCATTGCCACCAAGGACCGAGATTTAGCCCAGAAATTGTGGAGAGATAGGATTCGATCCGGTCGTCGAGCCCATCGGATGCTACTCGTCGCCCAGCCGCACCAGTCCGTCCAACCACCTCCGAGGGCAGCACCCCAACCACCCTCCGGCGACCTGAAGCCGTCCGCTGGGATCCGCCAAGAACAGGTAGACATATTATGTTCGAGTGATTTTGTTCAGGAATTATAGAATCAGAGAAAGAAGAGTGAAATTGAAGAGGAAATTGTGATGTGTGCGTGCGTGAAAAAGGGGAAGAAAAAAGGAAAGTGGAGAGCAGAGGGAGTGTGGTGTATTGTCTTTATCTTCTACGAGATTATTTTTTATTTTTTCGAAAAAAAAGGGTAATTGTAATTAAAAACACAACTTTTACTAAAATTGTAAATAAAACTCCACTTTTTTAATTTGGCATAAAAATACTTGACCTTTCAAAAATTTTGCAATTATGTCTCGACAGAAGATTCCGGTGAATCGATGCTGAGGTGGCATATCGGAAATCTGATATGTAAACAGAATATTGACGTACAAGAAAAAAATTACATTCGGTGACACGTCATTGTACACGTAAGAGTCCATGTCAAAGTCTATTAACAGATAATACTCCCAATCTCAGGCCCGATGAATCAGAAAAAAAGGAACAGAAAACTTCGCTACGAGCAGAACAGAAAACTTCGCCGCGCGCGATTTTGCTCGGCGTTTTCTCGCGATTTTCTCCAAAAATTTGCCGCTCTCTTCCTTCTTCATCCGAAAAATCGAGTTCACTACCAGATTGAGGACTTCCTTTCGATTCCGGGCCCTAAAATCTTTGAGCAACGAAACCCTAACAGGTATGATTTTTCTTCTCAATTTTCAAATTCCCCCAATTGTTGATGAATTCATGTGGATGTTGATGAAATGAAAAGAATTTTTATGAAGATGTTGAGTCAGAATTGGTTTGTTAGGTTGAATAGAAGTGGGTCAACGCCATATGATCTGATGCAGAGGAAAAAAAAAAAAAAGATTTTTGATATTTATTTTTTGATGGCTTCATTTTGAAAAAAAAAAGGACACGCTTTTCGATCTGACCTCTACCGAAGGCTGTCGCTTCGAAGCTCAATCGCCGCTCCCTAAGCCGACGGCGCTCAAACATCCACGGTAAGAGCCCATCGATTCCCGAGTTCCATCGCCGACCGTCAGCCGCTGAAGGCCTCGTCGCGCCGCCGCTTGTGAACGCCGAGGTTGATGCTGCGTGGGCTGCTGACAAAGAGAGAAATGGGAGGAAGATTTTTGAGTGGGTTGGTTCGATTTCGATTTTGTTATTGGAATTGGAGAGAGAGCTGCAGATCGATTGAGAGAGATGAAGAAGCGGAGAAGAGAAATAAGGGGAAAGAAAATGACAGCGAGAAAGAAAATAAAAATGAAAAAGTAATAGNGTAGAGGGAGAAGGTTAGTGGAGAAGACTCATTTGGGCCTTCGGTCTTTTGGGCCAGAATTTGAAGAAGATGGGTCACAAGAGAATTAAAGAGAAATGGGCCAACTACGTGTTTATTGGATTAATTATTGGAACGAACAAGAAAAGAATTGGGCTTGTAATGAATTTTGCCATGGACATCGAAAGGAGCTTTGACCCGTCGAACCTTTATCCGAACCATTGTTAAATATCGATCCTAGCCTTTTATACCATTTATTTACCCTTCACTAAAATATGAACTATATTTATATAAAAGTTATTTAATTAAGATAATTCGAGTCCAGCCATCTATTTAGTGAAATTATATTTCACTGTAGGACAAGGTCGTGCACGCTATAATCATTCAAGCACGAGCATTGTTCAAGTCATTTCACGAGCTACATAGTCGAGGTGGGGTTTTCTCTACACATTACCTTTTTAATTTCATGTTATCTTTATTGTTGAATATACATGTCGCTGAGCTTCAGGCAAAAAATTGACGGTAAGCTACCATTGTCTTCGGACTTTGGGCTGGCTATATGAGATTATATGAGACTATATGATAACCGAGTTTCGAGCTGTGACTATATGAGACTTTGAGACTTGGCTTTCGGGTAAATGTAGGATATGGTTCGCTCGCGTGCATGTTATGTCTGTTATTTGTGCGTGTTATGATATTGTTATTACCATGAATGTATGTGTTGTTTGTGTTACTTTGAGCAGGCCTAC